TCTTGCCTCATGAAGTTTTCAAGCTGTCAAGAAATAACAATCTACACAAATCTATACTAACTGGTTTAGGAAATACTAGTGCAAAGTCAACGGGTAGAGTTAAGCATTCTGGGGGCTGATGCTGTGGCATAGTGGGTAAAGCCACTGCCTCCAGTCATGGCATCTCATATGGCTCTGGTTCAAGTCTCAGCTGCTCCACTTCCAATCCAGCTCTCTGCTATGGCCTGAGAAGGTGATAGAAGATGGCTCAAGTGTTTGGGCCCCTGCATCCATGTGGGAGACCCAGAGGAAGCTCCTGGATCCTGGTTTTGGATCAGCACAGCTCTGGTTGTTGTGGCCTACTGAGTAATAAACCAGTGGATCTCTCTCTCTCTCTCTCTCTCTCTCTCCCCCTGCCTCTTCTCTCTCTGTATAACTCTGACTTTCAAAAAAAAATATACCACACACATATTTAAGAATGCATAATATTTATATGTTATCTTGATATTAAGCATAAGAAAAAATGACCATGGAATAATAATAACTTTTCATATCCTATCTTTTTTAGATAAGTTATAATTCTATGTGATTCTCTACAGTGTAGATTATTGTTGCAGGTACTCTTCCTCTCTGTCTCACTGTTTTTTTCTGAGTGAGAAATCTATGATTTAAAAACAGAACCTCAAGGAAAAGGAAGATTTCTTAAACCAGTAATAGGTTTCAGTTGGCATTTAACCTCGACTTTTTTTGTTAAAGCTTTTATTTAATTAATACAATTTTAATAGGTACAACTTTGGGAATATAGTGATTTTCCCCCATACCCACCCTCCCTCCCTCACTCCTATCCCACCTCCTACTCCCCCATCCCATTCTTCTTTAAGATTCATTTTTAATTAACTTTATATATAGAAGACTAACCCTATACTAAGTAAAGATTTCAACAGTTGGCCACATACCTGCCAGCAATGTAAAAAATACAGTTTGAGAACAAGTTTTGCAGTTAATTCTCAGAGTACAACTCATTGAGGACAGAGGTCCTGCATGGGGAGTAAGTGCACAGTGACTTCTGTTAACACAGACTTTTAACGATATTGCCATGGGCAAATACTAAAATTTTTCTACCTCAGTTTTGTCTTTGTGAACTCCTGATAATACTGTCTCCAGGATTAATCTAAGGTATAAATAATACAATGTAAGGAATTTAGTCCCTTAACTGGAATCCCAGAAGGTACTCAGTAATGTTAGTTCTGTATCCAATTCCCCTGTTTGTTTCTGTATTTGGTGACTTAAGAATTGTGTGGAATGATTTGCAAGGAACTATAAGCATCAATAAAACACAAATTAGAATTATTTTCTCAAATCTGGATGTTACACTATGCCCTCTACACCTCTGCTAAAAGTTAAACTGTATTCATAGTCATCTATTATTTAAGAGTTACTTCCAGGAACAAAGCAGCAAGTAAGATTTTTCTGGAAGGAGACAGAGTTTCTGAAGGAGCAAGGATTTGGGTGTTAGCAGCAGTGGGTGTCATTGCTTAAGATTTTGGTTCAGGAAAGACGGAGCTCCAACCGATCTTTGAGATTTTTGGGATGGGAAGGAAGGGAAGGAGGGATGTAAGCAAACGCAAATGCCCTGTTCTCCTGTCTGTCTCCATCTGCTGCAGACAGAGGGAGGCCCATCTGGTCTCTTTGGGAAAGCCCGCCCTGGACTCCATTTCCCAGAGTGCCAGGTGAGCTGAGGAACTACGTGCTCCGAATGCGCACGCTCCTAGTTTGGGCTAGAGGAAGTTCAATCAGTGACCAGAGTCAGCCCTAAGAGGTCGCGGTGCTAGTTCTCCGCGTTCACCGTGTCTCTCCCGGCAGTAACCGGCCCGGCAGTTTGAGCGCACGAAGCCCCAGCCTGCCACGCGCTGCGTCTGTGCTGCAGCTTCTGCCGCCTGCGGGCCACGTGCCGGGGACTTTACTGCCCCGCACACTCCGCTCCACTCCACGTGTGTCCTGAAGAAAGGAGACCTGCTCCCGGGACTGTGCAAGCAAGTATGGAGGGGTGTGTTCGCGGGGGAGGGGTTTGGTGTGAGGTGGCTGGCGGCTCCCAGACGGGGCTCCCTTGTTTCTTAGTGATCCTGGCAGCTTTTCCTGGCAAGGCTCGGGCCGGGACCCTGCTGCCCTGTCTCCCACTGCCGCTTCCCAGCCCCCAGCGCCCAGCCAGTCCTGCGGGCTACTTTGCTCCAATTTTCCTGAATGTGCTTTATTTAGTGCTACAAGAGAAGGCGCTGGTGGCGGGAAGTGCACTAGCAGGGCAGGCGAGAGGACCGCGAAGGAAGGCAGAGATTCCAGTTCTCTACATTAAAAAAGCTCAGTTCCCACTTTGGGTGGGTCGCAAAAAAGCTCAGTTCCCACTTTGGGTGGGTCGCTGAATGCCTTCAGGCTGAGCCTCTGGCTGTGTCCCCGGGGTGCTTCTGGCGGGGCGGGGCTTGGAAGCCTAAAGTGTGAGGCCTGAGGCAGCAGGGGGCTGGGGAAGGAGGATCAGGCTAGGATCTGCTCCAGGGACCCCATCCTGCTGCTTCTTGGCCCTGTGGGGTCCCTGGCGAATGCATCTGGCAGCTGTGGTCCTATGTGTTTGTTTTTTTTTTCCGATGGGAGCAGTGTGAAGGGTGTGCAGTAGCTTTGTGGATTGACCCCTCTTTGTTAAGTTAACAGACTTTTTTCAGTCTGGAGTTTGAGGTCATGGAATCATAGTTGATGATTTATTTGGCTGCTTTTCGACTTCTGTCTTCAGGCTTTCTTTGTTCTCCTGTTAGCAAGGATGTCAGCTGTTATCTGCCACTGATCCCTTTGCAAAATGAGAAGTGAACTGAAGTTAATGCAGCTCTGTGTGTGTCAATAACGTGGAGTTAGTTTAATCTGGACTCCCATGTGGGTGGCAGGGACCCAAGTTTTGGGCTGTCTTCTGCTGCCTTTCCCAGGCATACTAGTAGGGAACTCGATTGGAAGTGGAGCAGCTGAGACTTGAACTGGTGCTCATATGGCATGTTGGCATTGCGGGAGGTAGCTTAACACATTGTGCTACAATACTAGCCCATCAATAGACATTTTGGGTGGGATCAGTGGCTATGAAAATGCACAACCTAAAGTTACAAGGAAGTGGAAAGCAGTTTCTTCTAACTGCAGTTGGTTCCAGGGGCCTTTATTGCACATCAGCTCTGACCGGGCCAGTAAGTGAAGAGTAAGAAGTCAGAACCTCAGTTAGTATTTTACTCTGAATCAGGGATGGGGACATCCAGCCTGTGGGCCATTTGGGGTCCATGAAATCATTTGTTCTGCACCTGCCAAAGCAACTGCATGTTGGATTGGATAATCAATCTACAGCATGCTAATTTTTAATTCAGTAATTTTGTATAGTCCATGAATGATGTTATAAATCTCCAAATGGCCTTGGCAGAAAAAACATTCCCACCCCTGCAAAATGTTAATGGCAAATCCAGGGCAACTTACAAATATGTTTGAGTGAATGGGCCGGCGCTGTGGCTCATTAGGCTAATTCCTCTACCTTGTGGCGCCGGCACACTGGGTTCTAGTCCCGGTCAGGGCACCAGATTCTGTCCCGGTTGCTCTTCTTCCAGGCCAGCTCTCTCCTATGGCCCAGGAGTGCAGTGGAGGATGGCCCAAGTCCTTGGGCCCTGCACCCGCAAGGGAGACCAGGAGAAGCACCTGGCTCCTGGCTTCGGATCAGCACGATGCGCCAGCCGCAGCGCGCCAGCCGCGGCGGCCATTGGAGGGTGAACCAAGGGCAAAAGGAAGACCTTTCTCTCTGTCTCTCTCACTGTCCACTCTGCCTGTCAAAAAAAAAAAAAAAGTGAATGAATAACTACAATTACCAAGCCTGTGAAAGACAGACACTTCTAGACAACACATTCCAGACATCGGTTATGTTTCTACATACTGCCAGAGATGCCAGGCATGTTGTTGAAATAGCTTTATTCCTTCTTAGAAAACAGAAATGGGAATCCTGTGTGATGAGATAGGCATGTGTCATTAGCTCAAATAGAATCTGTTTCTGGAGACAGTCTTAGGTTGCATACGGAGATGCATGCTTGTGCATGCAGTGTGCATGAGGTATCCATGTATACAATTTATACCAACTCTTTCTGAGCCATTTTGAAATAAGTAACATTTCTCACATAATTGAATGGCAGTCTACAGGACTGCTCCAAAGGGAGCAGGCTTCAGGGGCACGAGGGGCAGTGATGCAGAAAGGAGGTGAGGGGAAGGCCAGAAGGGAGATCGGGAATATTCAAAAGCACAGATAAGACATAGGTCATTTGTGCAAGTTGCCAAAATTAAACTTCTATCTTTTAGGGTTTTTAAATTTGTTTAAATTTAGAGTTAATTTCTAAAGTAGTTTGATATAGTTGACTCACTTTTCAGTATTCTTACATTGCTATTTCTATAAGCAGTAGAGAACTGGTGTAATGAAATGTGAAAAGACAATCCTAAATAAACAGCATGCAACAGAGTTTTGTAAGGAAAGGGCTGACTATGGCTGTGCGTGTGTCCTTTGCTAGGAGCAGAAGTTCTATGATTGCATCTGAGGTCACTGAAATCAGTTTTAATGGAAACACTGACCACTTTCACTGCTGCAGTTACTCCTGACTCACACTCCACATTCCTGTGCAAATAGTCCACCTGTGAGCACAGTCAAAGGGGGTGCAGACCTGGAATAATGCACATGTGCCCTTTGCTTGAACTAGGGGACTGACAGACTGGAGCTCTTTATTTCCGTTTTCATTTTGTGTGTGTGTGTGTAGAGTGAAATACAGCAATTTGGGTTAAGTGTCGTGTCTCCTAGTAGATGACTTCAGTTGGCTTGCTTGTGCATCCATCTGGCATCACAGGTGATCCCCAAGATAGGTGTTGGGCTCTATATAAACAAAAATCTCTCTGGGGTGAATTATTTCCCCTTGCAAAATAATAATAATCATAATTGTAATCATAAAATAATTAAAATGATGAGCTATTGATTCAAAGACATTAATCTGATCTACTATGAAATAAAAAAAGATTCCATTGTTTTTAAATGGAAAATAATACAAGTTGCTTGTAAAAAGGGGTTCCTGTAGGATGCATAATTCTCTATGAATGGGACTGAAGTAATCCCCTTTGATTATCCCTCCCTGAGGTAGTTCCTGATGGTCATTGCTCAGAGAAATAATGATATTTATATTCCAATTATGAATAGTTCATGTGTGTTTATACATGAAGTGGCTACAGGTATGTTTCCCAAGCCTTTAAAATAAAGGAAGGGAACTTTACAACATAAGAGAAGGTTGGCATTGTCTGCTATCTTGGGCTAGAATCTGTGCCTTTATTACCCCCTTAGCACTCTGGCTAACTCCTGTTTTGTGCATCTCTTTGTGATGGTTCTTTTTAGGCCACTGCTGTGTCCAGATTCCTGAATGGGTGAGACAATCTTTGGCTAGGCTGCTGGTCTGTTCCCTCAGCCTAAATGTGAGTTAGCTAGTTTGTGTACCCACTCCAGGGTCAAGGGGGCCCAGAACTGCCCATGACTGGTGCTGTCTTCTTGCTCACTCCAGAGATGGACTCTGCACAAGTCCCAAGTGGCTTTGCTTGGGCCTCTTTCCTTGGTCTCCCTGGTGACCAGGCTGATTTTTTAGGTAGGCAGGAAACCTGTTGATTCACAAGCCTTCTTTTTATAACACATACTACATAAATGTTTTTGAAACCTTCTTGTACGCATGGATTTCAAAATTTATTACAGCAAAAAAGACTTAATCATTTAAGTCCATTTTTTATGACACTTTAAAGTGCCCTTGTTTATATGTATATAGATGTCTCAGAAGATAATATAGGAGACTTTTAAGAGTAATGTGTTCTGGGGGGCCGGTGCTGTGGCTCAGTGGGTTAAAGCCCTGGTCTGAAGTGCCAGCATCCCATATGGGCGCCAGTTGTAGCCCTGGCTGCTCCTCATATGATTCAACTCTCTGCTGTGTCCTGGGAAAGCAGTGGAGGATGGCCCAAGTCCTTTGGCCCCTGCAACCACATGGGAGATCCCAAAGAGGCTCCTTGCACCTGGCTTCAGATCAGCACTGCTCCAGTTGTTGTGGTCAATTGAGGAGTGAACCAATGGATGGAAAACCTCTCTCTCTCTGTCTCTCTGTCTCTCCTTGTTTGTCTGTGTAACTCTGATGTTCAGGTAAATAAATAAATCTTTAAAAAAAGAGTAATGTGTTCTGTGTAATATAACTAGTATAGAAAGAAGTAATGTTTTTATTTTATGTTCTTTTGCAGTATTTAGTAGATAGTATGTACATTATTGCTAAATGTGTATTTTTAAGGTAGAGACACGGAGAGAGAAACCTCCCATTACTGGTTCATTCCCCAAGTGGTTGCAATATCTAGGGTAGCCCAGGATGAAGCCAGGGACAAGAAACCCCATCCGGGTCTCCGACGTAGGTGGAGGGGATCCAAGCACTTGGGCCATCTTTCACTGCCTTCTCAGGTGCATCATCAGGAAGCTGGATTACCAGGAAGCTGGAACAGAAGAGTAGCCAGGACTGATATCAGGCTTTCTGTTATGGGATGCTGGCATTGCAAGCAACAGCTTAACCTGCAGAATCACCATTCTGCCCTCATACATTATTTTTATAATGTCTCCCTTTAGATCCCTTAACATCTCTTTTAAATAGTCAGGTGTCCAGTAATTGGGTGTATGTATATTTATTATAGTTACATCTTCCTGTTGAATTGACCCCTTAATCTTAGTGCCCTTGTTTTTCCCTTTTAATGGTTTTTGTGATAAAGTCTATTTTGTCTGAAATTAAGATGGCTACACCTACTCATTTTTGGTTTTCATAAGCATGTATACCTTTTTCCATCCTTTAACTTTTCTGACTGTGGATTTCTTGGTTCCTTGTAGGCAGCAAATAGATGGGTCTTGTTTTTTAAATCCATTTGGCCAGTCTGCCTCTTTTGGAGAGTTGAGACCATTTACATTCAATAATACAATTGATAAGTGATGAATGGGCCATGCCATTTTTCCATAAATATTCCCATTGTTTACTTGGGATTTCCCTTGTACTTTTACTGGGAGATTTCTGCCTTCACTTTCTTTAACAGTGGTAACCATGTTTCTGTGTGTAGCACATCTTGGGCTTTTTTTTGGCTGCATGTGTGGTGACATATTGTTTCAATTACTGCTTGTTATGAAGGTCTTTTTCACCTTCATTCAGAAATGAAAGCATTTAAGACAGAGTATTCTGCATTGGCACTTGTTTTGTTTTGATTTGGACTATATCTCACCATTCTTTTCTACCTTGTAGGGATTCAGATGAGAATTCTGCCGATAGTCTAATTGGAAGCACTTTTGAAAGTCATCTGGAGTTTCTCTTGTGCACATTTTGGAATCTTTTCTTTATGTTTTACTGTGTAAAATTTGACTACAATGTGTTGTGGTGAACATCTTTTCTGGTCATGTCTATTAGCAGTTCTATGTTTTTCCTATGCTTGGACAGTTTTTCTCCAAATTTGGGAAATTTTCATAATTATTTTCTAAAATGTCATCCATTTTATCTTCCCACACCTTCAGGGACTCTAAGACCCATATGTTTGCTCATTTGTTATTATCCCATAAATCTCAATCCCTGTTTTTTTATTTCTCTAATTTCTTTCTCTCTCTCTCTCTCTTTTTCTATCTATCTCTCTTTCTCTTTGTCTCTCTCTGTCCTTCTCTCTCTCTCTCTCTCTCTCTCTCTCTCTCTCTTTTTTTTTTTTTTTTTGTTTGAATGCCCAGGCAGCCTAAGCCCCAGAGCCTGTGATGTCCTTGGAGCCTTGGGGCACCTCACAGTCTTACGTGTGTGCGCAATCCCCTGTCAGTCCTCCCAGCCAGACTCAGGTGCCTCCTCTCTGCTAGTTGCTGGGTTTGTGGACACAAGCTGTTGCAGTTTTCTCTTAACTCTTCCCTGAGATTGCACTCTGTCTACTTTTCTTAAACTTTCTTCCCCTAGACTAGAGCAGTAAGCTTCCTACCTATTCTGCCTCTCAGCTGGTTGCTGGGTTTGTGGACACAAGCTATTGCAGTTTTCTTCTTAACTCTTCCCTGAGATTGCACTCTCTCCACTTTTCTTAAACTTTCTTCCCCTAAACTAGAGCAGTAAGCTTCCTACCTATTCTGCCATCTTGGAATCTCATGGTCTTATATTTAGATTTTTCACTTAACATGCATTGACTTTTCTGTAATGTAGGAGGTGTGGGGATATATTTTCAGCCTTCAGTATATGGATAATCAGTTTCTTTACTCCTTGCTAAAGAAATTCTTCTCTTTTTCCAGGGCATTTTGGTTCCTTTGTTAAAGGTGAGTTGCCTGTGGAAATGTGGGTTTATTTCTGGGCTGTCTATTCTGTTACACTGAGCTATGTGTGTGTTTTTAAGCCAGTGCTTTCATGCTTCTGTAATATGTCTTGAAATCAGATATTGTAATTCCTTCAGATTTATTATGTTTTTGAAGATTGCTTTGACCATTTGAGGGTTTTCTGGTTTCAAATGAATTTTTAGTTTGTTTTTTTTTTTCTACTTCTGTGAATAATTTCTTTATAAAAAGATTTATTTATTTCAAAGACAGAGTGACAGAGAGAGAGAGAGAGAGAGAGAGAGATAGTAACAGAGTTCTTGAATCTGCTAGTTCACTTCCCAAATAGCAACCATTGCTGGGGATGAGCCAGGTCAAATCCAGCATCTGGAGCTCCACCTAGGTTTCCCACATTGTTGGCAGGGACCCAGGAAGTTGGGTCATCTTTTGCTGCTTTTCCAAGCATGTTCACAGGGTGCTGGATCAAAAGTATAGCTGTCAGGACTTGAGAAATTTTTGTTTCTTTTTAGATTTATTTTATTTATTTGGAAGACAGAGTTACAGAGAAAGGTAGAGACAGAGAGGTCTTCCATCCACTGGTTCACTTCCCAGATGGCCACAGTGGCCAGAGCTGTGCCAATGCAAAGCCAGGAGCCAGGAGTTTCCTCTAGGTCTACCACATGGGTGCAGGGGCCCCCAACATGGGTGTAAGGGCCTAAGGATTTGGGCCATCTTCCACTGTTATCCCAGGCCACAGCAGAGAGCTGGATCAGAAGACGAGCAGCCGGGACTAGATCACATGCCCCTATGGGATTATAGCACTTCAGATCAGGGCTTTAACCCACTGCGTCACAGCACCGGCCTCGAGCACTTGTTCTGATATAGGATACTGGCATTGCAAGTGGCAGCTTGACACATTGTACCAAAGTGTTAAGCCCTCTATGAAGGATTCCGCTGATGCTTTGATTATTATTTTTTTACCTTTTATTTACTGAATATAAATTTCCAAAGTACGACTTATGGATTACAATGGCTTCCCCCCCATACCGTCCCTCCCACCTGCAACCCTCCCCTTTCCCACTCCCTCTCCCCTTCCATTCACATCAAGATTCATTTTCGATTCTCTTAACATACAGAAGATCAGCTTAGTATACATTAAGTAAGGATTTCAACAGTTTGCTCCCACACAGAAACATAAAGTGAAAAATAATAGATGATTTTTTTAAATGATGATGAAATCAGATCAGACCTATTGTCATGTTTAATCCCAGTGAGAGTCAAGTTGGGAATTGATAATTTCTTTCTTTTTTTTTTTTACAGAAGATCAGTTTAGTATGCATTAAGTAAAGATTTCAACAGTTTGCACCTCCATAGAAACACAAAGTGAAATATACTGTTTGAGTACTCATTATAGCATTAAATCTCAATGTACAGCACATTAAGGACAGAGATCCTACATGAGGAGTAAGTGCACCGTGACTCCTGTTGTTGACTTTACCAATTGACACTCCTGTCTATGGCATCAGTAATCTCCCTATGCTCCAGTCATGAGTTTCCAAGGCTATGGAAGCCCTCTGAGTTCTCCGACTCTTATCTTGTTTAGACAAGGTCATAGTCAAAGTGGAGGTTCTCTCCTCCCTTCAGAGAAAGGTACCTCCTTCTTTGAAGACCTGTTCTTTCCACTGGGATCTCACTCACAGAGATCTTTTTGCCAGAGTGTCTTGGCTTTCCATGCCTCACATGGGCTTTTCAGCCAGATCCGAATGGCTTGAGGGCTGATTCTGAGGCCAGAGTGCTATCTAGGACATCTGCCATTCTATGAGTCTGCTGAGTATCTCACTTCCCATGTTGGATCACTCTCCCCTTTATTTATTCCATCGGTTAGTGTTAGCAGGTACTAGACTTGTTTATGTGCTCCCTTTGACTCTTAGTCCTTTCATTATGATCAATTGTGAACAGAAATTGATCACTTGGACTAGCGAGATGGCATTGGTACATGCCACCTTGATGGGATTGAATTGGAATCCCCTGGTATGTTTCTAACTCTACCATTTGGGGCAAGTCAGCTTGAGCATGTCCCAAATTATACATCTCTTCCCTCTCATATTCCCACTCTTATGTTTAACAGGGATCACATTTCAGT